TAATTTTGGGTTATACTTTCCTTTTGGGTGTTTAAGGCCATACAGTTGACCCAGATAAACCAATTTATTTTTACTCTTAAGGTCATGTGAGGATCTATTCCTCGGGGGCCACATGGGCTTGGGAGGAGCCCCTGGCTCCTTTCTTTTACCAGTTCTGTCTATGTGAAGATAAGTCAAAGGTCCTGGTCAACTATGGATGGCTTCTCTTGGAAGCATGGAGGAAATGTTTTCTCTGTGTTGACCCTCTTCTTTGTAGACTGGACACTGGTTCAGGTCCATCTGATGAGGTCTCCATGGCCTCCTTGATCAAGAGGAAAGGTGATTCACCACAGTTACAGGACCTCTTGAGAGATGCTCATAGTCCCCTGGAAATTAGTCAACCTAGGAGAGCAAGGAGCAAAAACTGTCCTTTATGTCCCTCTGACCAAATTAGTATAGGCATCGAAGTATGGCTGTTAAACATCCAAGAAGCTTACTTCCACCAGTCTGTACTTTTAATTACCATGTACCATGTAGATAAAGCTTAGGCAAAGACCAATTGTTCTCATATAAACCTTGCCTAGACATTTATTTCTTGATCTGGTTTGTATAATTTGTCAGTAGGTTGTTGGAGTAATATAAAATAACTAGGCATTATTTATCTCTCACATTGTCTAAACCCCTTATCATGGTTTCCCCAAATAAGGTGCCCCCATTTTTCCCTGTGCCCCCATTTTCCCCCCTTTCTCCCTTAATAATACCCTTCTCCTACAGTCCTACCTCTCTTGATCTCCTTCTTTCCCTTTATCCCCTAAGTGCCTTGTATACCCTTCCCCCCCTTAAATTTACCCAATTTTTATCCACATCTCCCTTATTAAGGCCTGTTTCCTCCTGTTCTTCTCTTTCAGGTTCTTTCTTTTCCTTTACCGCCCTGGTTCCTTTCCATTATCCTGGTTCCTGTAGTTATGTCTGAATACATACTCACTTATCAGGGTTTGGTTCTAGGATCTACATATGAGGGAGAACAAAATATGTCGATTTTTTTTTCCTGAGTCTGTGTTACTTCACTTAGTATAACAGTTTCTAGTTCCATCTATTTACCTGCAATTTTCATGATTTCATCTTTCTTTACTGCTGAGTAAAACTTAATTGTATAAATGAACCACATTTTCACTATCCACTCATCAACTTTGCTTCCATCTCTTAGCTATTGTGAAAAGAACAGAAAAAACATGGATGTACAAGTGTCTCAGCAATAGGACAAGTTCTTTGGGTATATGCCAAGGAGTGGTATAACTGGGTCATATGGTAGGTTCACTTGTAGTTTTTAAAGAGTTTCTGGGGTAAGATAAAAACTTAAATTGGTTTTAAGTTGCATTTCCGTAATTACTAGTGATGTTGAATATTTTTAAAGATATTTCATAGTCATCTTTACTTCTTCTTTTGAGAATTCTCTGTTCAGCTCCTTAGCCCATATTTCAATTGGGTTGCTTCTTGTCTTGGTTCTCTGTTTTTTAAGTTCTTTATATATTCTGGATGTTAAACTTTCAGATGTGTCACTGGTGAAGATTTTCTCCCACTCTATGGGTTTTCTCTTCACTTCCTTAGTTGTTTCTTTTGCTGTACAGAAGGTTTTTAGTTTAATAATGTCCCACTTGTTGACTCTTACCTTAATTACCCAGGAAATTCTGTCTGGTTTAGAAGATGTCCGGTTTAGAAAATCTTTCCTACTCCTATATCTTGTAGGTTATTCCCAGTGTTTTCTTCTAACAGTCTCAGAGTTTCAGTTGAGATCTTTGATCCATTTGGAATTGACTTTTGTGCAGGGTGAAAGATAGGAGTTTAGTTTCATTCTTCTACAGGTGGAGATCCAGTTTTTCCAGCACCATTTGCTGAACATGCTGTCTTTCCTCCAGTGAATATTCTTGACCCCTTTGTCAAATATCAGGTGGCTGAAATTTCATGTTCTCATATCTGGGTCTTCAATTTTGTTCCATTGACCTATGGGTCTATTTTTGTGCCAGTACCATGTTGTTTTTATGACTATAGCTCTGTAATACAGCTTAAAATCTGGTATAGTAATCCAGCATTGCTCCAGCATTGCTCTTAGTGCTCAGGGTTATTTTGGCTATCTGAGGTCTTTTGTGCTCCCAAATTTTTATAAGCACATTTTTCACCTACTTGAATGTCTGACAGAAAAGGGACACCTTTATTTTGCAGAAATTGTAGGAATTCTGCCTCTAAATTAATTCCTCACCACTATAATATCAAAATAATATAAAAAACTTTCCTGCAACTTTCCATCCTGCACACTGGGGGAAGAGATAGCACCACCATTATGGAGAACCATAGATTTTGATGAATTTGTTTTGAGAAATTTTTCTTTACATGAGACTAGACTAAAAAGAAAATCTGATTTGTAACATTAAGATGTAGATTTTGGTTCCTGAGATTTATATAATTTATAACCCACTTTTTTTTAATCACTTGTATTTTACTATAACCATAAATTGTGGGTGCTTAGAGATGGCTCAGTAGTTAAGAGCACTGACTCTTGCAGAGGACCCAGGTTTAATTCCCAGCACTCACATGGCGACTAACAACTATCTGTAACTCCAGTTCCAGGGGATCCAATGCCCTCTTCTCCACAGGCATTATACAACATGAGTGCACTTATATACATGCAGGTGATACACTCATACACATAAAATAAAAATAATAACTAAAATATTTTTTAAAACTATAAATTGTGAGAGTATTTTAAGTCTGTCCTCACTTGCTCCTCATCTTCCTGTTTACTGATTCCCAAACATGATTTGGGTCTTGCTGGCCACCTTTTCTTCTACCTGTTATTATATCTGTCCTATATCTTAAAGCTGTAATTCGCCAGTCAGCTTAGCCTCCTCTCCTGTGTCAGATATTCCTTGAAATAACATTATTATTAATTAATTAATTTATTTATTTATTTATTTAGTTAGTTAGTTAGTTAGTTTTTGTTTTGTTTTTTTGAGATAGGGTCTCCTTGTAGCCACAGCTGGCCTGAACCTTGCTATATAGATCAGGCTGGGCTTGATCTCACAGAGACCTGCCTGCCTCTACCTCCTGAGTGCTGGGATTAAAGGTGTGTGCCACCACACCAGGCTTATTTATTTTGGATGAGTATGCACAAGGAGTAAGTTAAGAGAATTCAATTGGGATCTTGATGAAAATTAGAGAAATTCTAAGCCATTCCAATTCTTCCTCTCCCTTTTCTCTACCCTTTCCCACCAGATGAGTTTCTCCTCTCTTTTCCTTTACTACAGTATTTATTTTCTGTATCATTCATTCATTCATGCACTCATTCACTCATTCATTCATTCATTCATTCATTCATTCAGTATTTGTCCAGCCTTCACTTAGTTCCAGATGTAAGGGAATAAATAGTACAAAGAAAACCAAGACATGATCCCACCCCTTAAAATGCTCAATGTCCAATTATTGCTGGTAGAAACCAGTCTACTTTGCATGATTTTCTGGAGGTTGGGGAAGGCTGTAGAATAGGGATATCAGCATCCAATGAATAAGCTTAAAAGAAAGTTTATACAGAACACTTAATGACTGGGTTCTCATAATTACCAGTTATAAAATTCAAGAATGAAGAGTCTTTCTGATGACCTTGTGCTAGTTCATGACAGGCAGGAGATACTATTAGAAGTAGGAGAGAAAGCGAGTGCATTAGTTCTTTCACCATAAAATTGTTTTTGTTTCTTGGTAAGATCAATATGGATTATGTAATTATTTCAAATGGAAATTTAAAAGTCTTTATTGGAACTAACACCACATTCGCCATTATTGGTCACTCTTATTCACAAGACTCTTTTTGTTTGGTTTTTGTAATATTTTCTCTTGATCTTTTTTTAATTTTATGTGTATGAATGTTTTGCCTGTATGTGTGTAAGGCATCCATGTCCTGTAGTGTCTGTGGAGGTCAGAAGAAAGGGTCAGATTCCCTGGAACTGGAGTTACAGACAATTGTTAATTGCCATGTGGGTGCTGGGAGCTGAACCTGGGTCCTCTGAAAGAGCAGCCAGTGCTCTTGACCACTGGGCCATCTCTCCTGCCCCTGATCTTTTCTTTTTGATTACCTCTTAGCGTTTTTTTTCTCAGTTCCTTTTTTTGCATGTACATTAAGTGTTGAGTTCCAGAATTTGGTTTTTGGTTTTCTTATCACCTGACACACTGTTCACACACCCTGGGTTTTCTTATTCTAGTCCATGACTGCATTTGATAATTCCCAGTTCCAACTGTCTCCAGATCGTACTTGAAAAATCTGTAATGATCTGTAATGAGTGGTGAGAAAAGCAAGTTGCAAGTCAAAATGATGAAATTTATATCAGAAAAAAAATCATCTGTGTGTCTACACACACATTCAAATGTGGAAACGCATAGGAAGGTCCTGGAAGGGTGATAACAAATGACAGTTGTGACTGGGTTTTGGGGCCAAGGGAAAAGAATGCTGTGGAGAATGTAGAAAAAGGAAGATGAGCACATACACTTGATACCGTCTCCTGTAACACAATATTCTGAGATGGTTAATAACATTGTATTATTTAGATCTTTTGCTAAAACACCATATTCAACATTGTTGATTAACTTAAGAAACATTAAAGACAAAAAACTTTAAAAAAAAATTTTAATTATTTTTCTTTTAAATTTTATGTGTATGCAGGTATAGCCTGCATGTAGGTAAGTGAAAGAAACTTTTTTTTTTTTTTTGGTCTTTTTTGAGACAGGGTCTCCCTGTAGCCCCAACTGGCCTGGAACTCACTATGTAGGCCAGGCTAGCCTTCCTTGAACTCACAGAGCTCCGCCTGCTTCTGCCTCCCTAGTGCTGGGATTAAAGGCGTGCGCCGTCATGCCCGGCTAAGAAACTTTTTAAAGAGAAAATTTGTAGAGTTTTTGATTTAGGATCTGCTAGTATAAATATTATCATAAACCTACACAGAATTTTTCAGTCTTTTATAGTATTGTGCATAGCTGTTTCTGCTTTATCCCAACCTAGTTATTAAAAACTTAGGTTCAGCCTGGTGTGGTAGCATCCACTTTTGATTTCAGCAGAGGCAGGTGGATCTCTGTGAGTTCAAGGCCAGCCTGGTCTACATAGTGAGTTCCAGACCAGCTGGAGCTACAGGGAGACCCTGTCTCAAAAAGACCAAACAAAACAAGAACAAAAACAAACCAACAAAAAAAAGTTAGTATCATTCTGTTTAGCATTTGGGTTTCTTGATAGTAATTGGGATGCTATGTAAATCACTTACTGTAACTATGGAAAGATATCGATTGAGAAATAATTCTATATCAAGTACTATAATGTAAGTATAAAATATGAATATATTACAACCAAACTAATTAGCAAATAACTTTTATTCTCAAACTAGAATCACATTGCAAAGACCTGGATGTGACCGACTTAATAGAACCAGGACTGAACCAAGTGCAATTCATAGAAGTAAGAAGCTGCGTTATTCAATATCTAAACCAAATTATGCTCCAGTTTCAATTGTCTTTTGATGAGTGTCACATGCATTTCCTTGGAATTAAATTAAATGAAAAAATAGAAATGTGTCAGTTCTAAGATACATACTTTAAAATACTTAACCCCTTTGAAATTACGTTACAGTTTACAATCAAAGATATATTTTAGTTTCTTTCAATTAGTGGCATTCATTCATGGAAATATGGAAAACTTCTATTGATACCTTCTGATAAGATCATGCAAAGCCAGCATTCAAAATTCTATGAAATCTGGTTATATAGATAATAGTAGGATCTAAAACTTGTAACACCTTTAGAACCAAGCCAGGCCTTGTCCTAAGCAATCTGTACATAAACTCAGGCAATTCTCTCTGCAGCCCTTTTCCTCTATTCATTTTTTCTGTAATCCTCTTCTTTTATAGATGAAAATACTGAGGTCAAAAAAGGTTAAACAGCTTGTACATGGTCTTACATCTGGGGGAACTGGGAAGATTTGTTCTCCAGTGGTTTGGTTTCAAAGTCTACATGGTATTAACATCTGAGAATATTAATGGATTAAGTGAAAGAAACAATTAGATCAGAATCCTGTCTTCTAGAACCTGCTTTACATTTTTTGTTTGTTTCCTTCCTGGGCATGGTGCTGCACACCTTTTATCCCAGCACTGGAGGAGCAGATGGAGGGCAATCTCTGTGAGATCGAGGTCATAGTTCCAGGCCAGCTGGGGCTACACAGTGACCCTGTTTCAAAAAAATTTTTTTTCTTTCCTCTATTCCTCCTATTTTTCTATAATGAATCTAAGAGTCGATATAGTGTTTACTTTCTCCTGTCATGCTCTTGTGCTCCACTGAAGGTGGAAGCCATGCCCTATGTAGAGACTGTATGATGGATTTGCTAAATCTCTTCTAGAATGATTTTTGTATAGATAAGAATTTGGCAAATTCTACCTCATTTGTCTTTTAACTGTATTTCCTTAGATTCTGTCTTTTCTGTTTGGCATCCATTAGTCACAGGGCCAAACTAATGACTAAATTTATCCCTCCTCTGTGCTCCTGAACCCTTGCTATGAGCAGGCCTTCTTACTAATTCTCACACAGCAAACCAGTATTCCCCCTGTCCAGGGTCAGGTGCTCCCCAGCCATGGATAGCACCTGTGCTCTAAAGTCAGCCAGAATTGTTCAAACCAGCCAGTCCTAAGCTGTTTCATCTGCTTTGCCCTGTCCCTGAAACCCCAGCAAAGACAGCATAGATGCTTTCTTTGCTCCTCCTGTTCCTGCCTCCTCAACAAAGCCTAAAGTGGCCAGTTTGGCACCATGTGCTGCACAGCATGCATTTCTCCCAAAAATGATAAGTAACAAAAATCTCCCTCCAATGGAATTAGACTCCCCATGCCATCACTCAGTTACCTCTATAAATCAAAATCACAAAGTTACAAATGAGATAAGCTACTCAAAAATGTGCAGAACAAATTATAGTATTAAGATAGTTCTGAGGGGCGGGGCGAGATGACTCAGTAGTTCAGGTAGACGAGACGCACAGGCCTATTGCCAGGCCAAGGTTGATTCCCAGATCACACAAGTGGCAGGAGAGAACCCACTCGCCAGAGGTGTTCTCTGACCTCCAGGTACATGGTGGCACACATGCCTGGAAAACTTTTTTTTTTTTTTTTTTTTTTTTTTTTAAATTCAGGAAGCTAGCCTTTAATCCCAATATTCAGAAGGCTAAGGCAGGAGGATATCTGTGAGATTGAGGCCAGCCTCATCTACATAAGGAGTTCCAGGCCAGCTGGGGCTACAGGGAGACCATGTCTCAAAAAACAGAAGTAGAAGACAACAATATAGAAAATTGTATTATTTAGTTTTGGCCAAAACTGGGGAAGGAGCTCTTCTCAGTACATTTCTGCCTTCCCCATAGCAGTGTTACAACCTATAGAAAAAATAAGACAAAAGTCAGATGTGCATGTATAGATTTAGCTGTAGGCCCTAATTATTGGAGATGGAAATAAACTTTTTCCTTGGTATCGGGGGCCAGGGCTTCTGGGGACAGGCCCCCATCCCTGCCAGCATATTTCCTATAGAAAGCTGGAAATGAAAGAGAGAATTAGCTGAGCATGGTGGTGCATGCCTTTAATCCCAGCACTTGGGAGACAGAGGCAGGTGGATCTCTATGAATTTGAGGCCAGCCTGATCTATCTACACATCAAGTTCCAAGCTAGCCAGGGCTACACATAGAGACCCTGTGTCAAAAACAACAAAACAAAACAAAACCCAAAAACCAACAATTAAAAATTCTAATTTCTAGGGCCTTGTTAGACACAACAAGGAGCAGGTCCATGATGCATTCTGGAGCCAGTCTGACCCGGCCTCTTGTGGCTCCAACAGCTTATACTTATGTGACCTCAAGGAAGTTGTTCAATCTTCCTTGGTCTCATCTGCAAAATGGAGATAGTAATAGCTGAGTTGTAAAGACCAAACAAGAAAATGCACATCATATCCTAAGTACAGTCTACAGCACATGAGCATGTGAACCATTATGACATGAAGAAGAACATCAGAGTGTTAACTTTGGATATAAGTTGGTAATAGAATTGAGCTTAATATTTTTCTTCCTTATAATTTTTTGTTATAACTTTCTATAATGAATCCATATTGCTTTCTTATTGAGATATAATTCACATATGATTAAAATTCATATATTACTTTTATTATTAAAAAAAAAGGAGAGGGGTTGGGGATTTAGCTCAGTGGTAGAGCGCTTGCCTAACAAGCGCAAGGCCCTGGGTTCGGTCCTCAGCTCTGAAA